GAAACGATCCTTTTTGTAGGAGGAGTGGGCCTTACATAATGTCAGAGCACAGGGCAGCAACCGAAAGAAGCCGTGCAGAGCTTGGCGGCTTAGCGCTTCGATGGCCCTTGGTGGTGGGCTGAGAGACGCCACAGCTTAGGCAGCACATGGCCTGGGTGACTGACACTGAGGTTGCCAGTGAGTGCGATGCAGTGGCTGCAGAGATGCTGACGCAAGTTGCTGAGGCATGGTCCAAACTCTGTTGCCCAATGCAACTTGTCTCGTTGCAGGGAATTCGAGCATGGTTTTATGGCGAAGAACCGCCTGGAGTAGCGCCGGGAAGTCGGCCAAAGAAGCCGGCACCACCGGGGCTGGTGCAGTACGAGTACCAGGCAGCTTGCTGTTCTCGGACACTCTCGGGCTTCTCGGCTTCATTGAGGGGTCTCTGCGTCAGGAGCTGGAAGCTTCGACGCAGAAGTTCGCTCAGAGGCTCGGAGAGGACGACGCGCCTGCAGCGCCGCCTTTATGGCTGGGCTCCGGCGGCTCCAGTGCCGTGGACTCTGCTGGGCACCTGCAGTTTTTCTCTTGCTGTCACCGCTTGCAAGCCCAGGTGTACAGAGGGGTGTTGCGGGGAAGCGACGTTGCCGTCAAGGCCAAATGCGGTTTTGACGTGGTTGAGCTGACGAGTCTCAAAGCGGACCGCTGGCCGCTAGGCCCCAGCAGGTCCCTAGCGAATGCTAATGATGCTAATGCAGATGCTTTTGCCACATTGCCGTGTGTAGCCTTTGCGTGTAGTATGCATGGCAATTTCAATGTATGGCACCAGCAAACACAGCTTAGCCCCGGTACTCTTTTCTGGCAGGGGGTCGAGCTGCTGTGTGCAGCAGCGAGCATTGTTCGTCTCATTGTTGAGATTTTGCTTTGTTGGACACGAAGGTGTTTCCCTCTGTTCGGTGTTCTCCCCATTCAAGATGGATATTAACCGTGGCATTTCCTCTCTTGATGCTTCCGACTTTGTTCCGGAAGTGTTGATTCTGTTTTGCTTGCATTGTCTGATGTCCTGTTGTCAAGTTTGCAGGATTGAGGACGAGTCACCCCCCCCCCC